GCCGCCAAACAGATCAAGAGGGCGGACGAGCTTCGAAATGTAGCTTGAAGACGCCGACGATGGCTCCAAGAGGGCTCCCGGGAGCCCCCGAGACAGCCCAAGAGGGCCGCAAGAGCCCTCCCAAGAGGGCCCCAAGATGCAAGAATGGCCCCGTCCCCGTCGGAAAACGTGTTTTTTTTAGGGATTCGCCTCTTGCCCTTCCAGGGGAACGAAGACGGCCCGAGAGGCCGCCAGGATCGCCCCAAGACAGCCCAAGAGGGTTCCAAGACAGCCCAGAAGGGCCCCTGGCTAGCCCAAGAGGTCCCCAAGACGGCCCAAGAGAGACCCAGGACGGCCCCAAGCAGGGGCCCAGAGAGGATGCCCTACGAACATTTCAAGCCCTCCGCCCCCAGAGGTCCCAAGGAGGCCCCAAAAGGCCCCCCAAACGCCCCAGACGAACCTGGCTTCCCAGAGTTTCTGGAGGCTTCTCCAGCTCAGATCCACGCGGGGGGGAGGGAGAAGGAAGAGGAGGAAGAGAGGAGGAGCAGTGGGAAGGAGGGAAGATGCAGAAAAGATCAGGACGAGGAGGAAGAAGAGGGAAGGCTGAGCAGGAAGGGTGCGCAGAAGGACGAGGGGAGGAAGGGCGAGGAAACGAGCATAGGCGAAGAGAAATGAACACTGAATAACGAGGATGTGAGAAGAAGCAATGGGATCCCCAATTCGGCCAAGAGGCCCCCAAGAGGGGCCCAAGAGAGCTCCAAGACGGCCCAAGAGGGCCCCAAGACATCTCATCAGAGCCCCAAGACGGCCTAAGTGGGCTCCAAGAGAGCCCTAAAAGGCTCCCAAGACAGCGCCAAGGGGCCCAGAAGACGCCCCCAGGAGAGCCCCGGAGGGGTCGTGGTGGTGATGGCTGCAGTTGGCTTCAGTTCGTGCGCCGATTGTGGTCCTACCGACGATTAGGATGGTCGTGGAGGTGGCACTTGCCGTGGTGGTAATGATTGTGGTCGTGGATTCGCGGCAGTGGCAGTGGCAATGGTAGTGGTATTGGTGGCGGTACAGGCAGAGGTTGAACCAATGGCCGTTATAGTGGTCGTGGACAGTGCAATCGTTGTGGATGGGGTGGTCATGCCTAGAATGGACATGGAATCAGAAATGGTCGTGACCGCGGTGATGGCGGAAAGTGCGGTGGTAGCCGTGGCGGCATTGGCGGTGTTGAGCGTGGTCGCGGGAGTGACTAGAACCTAAGCGCGCGCGAAGCGCGCGCGTGGTTCTAGTATATATATATATATATATAGATCCATAAATAATTATCCCAGTGCGACCCTACCTAGGAGTTTGAGCATTTAGGACAGCAACATCTACATCTACACCGACAGCTACATTTACATCTACACCTGCATCTACATCTACATCAACACCAACAGCGAGACTCACATCTACATCTACATCTACATCTACATCTACATCTACACCTACATCTACATCTACATCTACATCTACATCTACATCTACATCTACATCTACATCTACATCTACATCTACATCTACATCTACATCTACATCTACATCTACATCTACATCTACACATCTACATCTACATCTACATCTACATCTACATCTACATCTACATCTACATCTACATCTACATCTACATCTACATCTACATATACATCTACATCTACATCTACATCTACATCTACATCTACATCTACATCTACATCTACATCTACATCTACATCTACATCTACATCTACATCTACATCTACATCTACATCTACATCTACATCTACAGCTACAGCTACATCTACATCTACATCTACATCTACATCTACATCTACATCTACATCTACATCTACATCTACATCTACATCTACATCTACATCTACATCTACATCTACATCTACATCTACATCTACATCTACATCTACATCTACATCTACATCTACATATACATCTACATCTACATCTACATCTACATCTACATCTACATCTACATCTACATCTACATCTACATCTACATCTACATCTACATCTACATCTACATCTACATCTACATCTACATCTACACCACACCTACACCTAAATCTACATCTACTCTACATCTATCTACATCGACATCTACATTTACATCTGCATCTCCATCTGCATCTCCATCTCCATCTCCATCTCCATCTCCATCGCCATCGCCATCGCCATCTGCATCTGCATCTGCATCTGCATCCACATCCACATCCACATCCACATCCACATCCACATCCACATCCACATCCACATCCACATCCACATCCGCGTGCACGTGCACGTGCACGTGCACGTGCACTTGCACGTGCGCGTGCACGTCCACGTCCACGTCCACGTCCACGTCCACGTCCACGTCCACGTCCACGTCCACGTCCACGTCCACGTCCACGTCCACGTCCACATCCACGTCCACGTCCACGTCCACGTCCACGTCCACGTCCACGTCCACACCACGTCCTCGTCGTCCCACGTCCACGTCCACATCCACACCAACAATCCACACCACATCCACACGCCCATCCACACCACATCCCATATACATTACATCTACATCTACATCTACATCTACATTAAATCTACATCTACATCTACAATATAACTACATTACATCAATATACATCTACATCTACATCTACATTACATCTTACATCTACAGCACAGTACGCTACAGCTACAGCTACAGCTACAGCTACACTACAAGCTACAAGCACCAGCTACAGTAAGTATAGCTACAGCTACAGCTACAGTACAGCTAGTAAAGCTACAGCTACAAGGTTACAGCTTTACATTACATTACATTACATTACATCACATCACATTACATTACATTACATTTACATTACATTTACATTACATTACATTACATTACATTACATCGCATTGCATTACATTACATTACATTACATTACATTACATTACATTACATTACATTACATTACATTACATTTACATTACATTTACATTACATTTGCATTACATTACATTACATTATATTACATTACATTACATTACATCTCAATTACATCTACATCTACATCTATCATACATCTACATCTACATCTAACATCTAAATCTACATCTACATCTACACCTACATACATCCACATCCACATCCACATCCACATCCACATCCAATCCACATCTACAGCTACAGCTACAGCTACAGCTACAGCTAGAGTACAGCTACATCTGCATCTGCATCTGCATCTGCATCTGCATCTGCATCTGATCTGCATCTGCATCTGCATCTGCATCACATCTACATCTACATCTACATCTACATCTACATCTACATCTACATCTACATCTACATCTACATCTACATCTACATCTACATCTACATTTACACCTACACCTACACCTACACCTACGCCTACGCCTACACCTACACCTACACCTACACCTACACCTACACCTACACCTACACCTACACCTACACCTACACCTACACCTACACCTACACCTACACCTACACCTACATCTACACCTACACCTAAACCTACATCTACATCCACATCTACACCTACACCTACACCTACATATACACCTACATCTACACTATGCTCTGCTGTGCTATGCTGCGTGATGCTTTGTTATGCCATGCTTGGGTACGCTCGACTGCGCAGTGGCATGCTAGGCTATGCTATGCTATGCTATGCTGCGCTATGACATGCTATGCTATGCGATGCTGCGCTAAGCTATGCTATGATATGCTATGCTATGCTGCGCTATGCTATGCCATGGTATGCTAGGCTTTGCTATGACATGATCTGCTGCGCCATGGTATACTATGCTACGCTATGCTATGCTATGCTGCGCGGTGCCATGCTATGCTATGCTGCGCTATGCTGTGCTGTGCGATGATATGCTGCGCTGTGCTGTGCTAAGCAATGCTATGCTATGGTATGCTATGATATGCCGCACTATGCTATGCTATTCTATGCTATGCTACGCTAAGCTATGCTATGCTATGCTATGCTATGGTTGGCTATGCTATGCTATGCTTTGCTGTGCGAATGCTGCGCTGCGCTATTAAGCTAAGGTAAGCTAAGCTATGATCAGCTAAACTAAGCGAAGCTAAGCCAGGCCAAGCTAGGCTAAGCTAAGCTAAGCCAAGCTAAGCTAAGCTAATATGAGATAAGCTAAGCTAAGCTAAGCTAAGCTAGACTAAGCGACGCTAAGCTAAGTTGAGCTGAGCTAAGATAGGCTACACAAAGTTAAGTTAAGCTAGGCTACGATAAGCTAAGCTAGGTTAAGCTAAATTAAGATGAGCTAAGCTAAGCTAAGCTTAGCTAAGCTAAACTGGGTGAGCCCAGGGGGCGTGACTGGGGGAACCGCGGGGCGGATCCTTGGGGAACCGCCTGGGGCGATTTACACTGCCCGGCCCCTTAACCACACACGGTAAGAACCCTCTAGGCAGAGCCTACGTAGGGAAAAACACAGTGCACATATAGGTATTCATGCATGTGTAGGTGTGTAGGTCCTCAGTTGAATTTGCGCATACATCTTGCACACACAAACACACGCTATCTCATACATATACACATTATATATATGTATGTATAAATGCATATACGTATCTCTCTCTCTCTCTCGCTCTCTCTCTCTCTCTCTCTCTCTCTCCCCCCGTGCACGAGGCCCGGGCCACGGGGGGCATGGGAGACCCATGGCTTCCCAGACCGCTCCCAGAGCACCCTGGAGCGGTCCTGGAGCTCCCAGACTGCCCCAGAGAGCTCCCAGGAACCCTCGGGGACTTCGACAAGCTCTTCCAAGACAGTCCCGATAGCCCCAAAGTGGCCCAATATGGGTTCGAGACCGCAAATACACACCCCAAGAGGCCTCCAAGAGTCCCCAATCCGTAATCATTCTGGCTTAAGTGATTTGGCTCAAGCCATTTCGAGCCAAGCCACCTTTGATCAGGGCTACAGGTTGGCTTCTCGAGGCAGAGCTAATTTTCTATATCCCGCGTTTCCTCTCCGCGCTTCTCTCTTCACGCAACCATGGCCTTCATGGCGAGAGCTCTGCAGCTCGCGGGCCTGTTGACCACCGTCAAAGCCGTGGAGTACCAAGAGGTCACGTCAGTAGATGGAGTCAATCCTACATGCGCGCAGATGGCTACAGCCGGCGAGTGGCAAAATCCGACGGAGGCCCAGTGCCAGCATTATGCCGAGGTGGAGGTTCCGGTGGCTCGTTTGGAGGAACAGTTCCTCCAAACGGTGCACCATGCGGGTGCAGCACCCTTGACATAGACGGCAACAATCCTTTCTACTATGCGCCATGTGCAGAGGGAGCACAGACGACAAGCATTGAATATCAAAACATCTGCGTCAAGACCATCCTTTGCAAGTCCACGACCTGCTCCGAGAGGTTCCTGTATTGGTGCCAGTAGACCACTGTGGGCTTCGGCTCCAACGACAACGAGGGGCCCGCGAGCTCTCCGACGGACATCCTCGTCGCCGAGTGCGAACAATGCAGAGGCGCCGCCAACACGGACACTTGCCCAACGAAGGTGGTTCGCTTGTACGATGCCGCTCTGGAGGCGGAGCCGACCTCGGAGCTCGACAAGACCTCCGTTGCGGTGTCAGTGCCGCTCGGATTGGTGTTCGCTCTCGCCGCTATGGGTGGAGTCATCGGCGTCTCCCGACGCCGCGCGTCCAACCAGCCAGTGCTCGTGGAGGACGAGCAAGATCTGCTGCGCGAGTGAACGAGTACGCCTGAGGCAGCAGCTCAGGCCTATCAGGACCAGAGGACACAGAGCTCGCCGAGTCATGCATGCTTTTTCAGATGCCTCCCCGCCTGACGTTTGCAATCGCTTTGCGCCAGTTCAGCGATCAAAGTTGCGTAACCCTCTCTCTCTCTCTCTCTCCCTCGCGCTCTCTCTTACGACGAATCCCTACATCCTGCTTACCTCCCTCCTCCCGACGTGGGAAGCGGTGCTCTGGCGCCGCTCGGATCGCAGTAAGGAGACCGACCTTCTGCAGGCCCACGGGAACTTGAGGCTCTTTTTCACTTGAGTTTGAAGTTTTGCAAGTCGCGACAAGCTTCGCTCCATGTTTCATGTCAGCCACAAAAAAGAAGAGGCCTCCAAGATGTCTCAAGAGAGCTTCGACAAGCACCCCGAGAGAGCCCGAAGAGGCCCAAATCATTGATTTTCATAGTTTTCTTGATGCTTTTCGGGTTCTCGCGTTTTCGACCCTCCGACGCTCCAAGACGGCCGACGACGCCCCCAAGACCGCCCCAAGACCGCCGAAGAGGTGTGCCCGAAACCATGATTCGGTGCCGTGCGCGGGTGGAGGACAGCCAGTTTTCAAACCAGGGCTAGCGCTGACCTATTCCGTGGATGTTCTGACCTTGCTTCTTTCATGGCGGGAGGGGTCTCAGGTAGAGCCTCAACAGAACGGGCTCTCGCCTGGACTCCTCTTCCTCCGCCCCTCCGCCTCCTCCCCTCCGCCCCTCCTCCCCTCACTTCCATTCCTCCCCCTTCCTCTTCCCTCCCCTCCCCCCCTCCTCCCCTCCTCCCCCTCCTCCCCTCCTCCTCCCCCTCCTCCTCCCCTCCTCCTCCCCTCCTCCTCCCTCCTCCCCTCGGCCCTCTCCTCTCCTCGCTCCTCCTCGCTCCTCCTCGCTACTCCTCGCTCCTCCTCGCTCCTCCTCGCTCCTTCTCGCTCCTCCTCGCTCCTCCTCGCTCCTCCTCGCTCCTCCTCGCTCCTCCTCGCTCCTCCTCGCTCCTCCTCGCTCCTCCTCGCTCCTCGCTCCTCCGCGGCCCTGCCGCCCGTGGACTCCGCGGGGGGCCCGACGGCACTCCGTGCGGCGGCGCTCGCCAAAAGTGCCCCCAAAAGATCACGAAAAATAGTCAAAACATGGTCCCAAGAGGGGGTTTTCGACGAAACATTTAAAAACAAACTCCCAAACTACCCCAAGAAGGTAAAACATACTCAACAAATAGTCCCCAGACTATTTTTGGAGCATGTTTTGATTATTTTTGGGGTATTTTATATTTTTTCCGTCGAAAATCCCCCTGCAGGGGGACAGGCCCGACTTAGGACTAGGGGGGGTGGATATCGTGGCGGGGGCCATGACATTTCCCCAGGTTTCGTGGCGCCTCTTCTTATTTCATTGCGTCCCTGGCCCCCCCGCTGGGCCGCGCATATGCCGCCGGTCATGATTTGCATCCCCCCTCTTGGACACCCCCCTCTTGGCCGCTCCCGGTAACTGTGGGTCTCCCCAGCCTGGGCGAGAGCCAGAAGCACACCACGCGTTGCCGCGTGCCCCTTCAGCGCTCGGCCCTCGTGTGGCCGGGCACGGTGATCTTCCACATCCGTGCATCCATCAGGCGGCCCCCCGCTTGCAACAAACGTAGGGGGACAAAGAGGGCTTCAGGGGGAGAGCCCCGAAGCGGCCCTGCAGGGCCCCTGAAGGGGGCCCATGTGGCCCCCAAAGGCGCCTGGAGGGCCCCAGAGGCGCTCCTCCTCTCCGCCCCACATGTATTGTCCCTACGTTGCTGGCCGCCCGAGCCAATGCCCAGATGTCGCCACATGTCCCCTGGTCCTCCGCCCGGGGGTTTTGTGTACTTCAGGAACAACCGATCAAGAGTTTGAACCTGGATATACATCACAATACCAAGATACTCATATCTGCAACTTCCCAAAACATCAGTATATCACGAAGATCAGGATGTGGAAATTCATGCACAGAAAGAAAATCCCAGTACACATAATATCAAGATCGATCAAGATCCGTTCGACATTTGCATTCATGGCACAACTTCTTGCAATAATGAGAATCTCACGGTAAGAGTCGACACTGCATAGTCGCATTAGATTTATCTTTTGTTTCTTTGTTTTGTTTTCGTCGCATTCCTTTTTTATTTTTTACTTAGGTTTTTGGTTTTTACTTTTGTTTTTCGTTTCCTTTGGTTTATCTTTTGTTATTTTTTTAATCTTTCATTATTTTTTTTCTCCCTGTTATTTTTTTCGTTTTTCCCCATTTATTTTTCATTTCTTTCATGGTTTTGGTTCTTTTCATAGTTCTTTTATTATATTTTGTCATTTTCCTTTTTTTTCCTTTGCATTTTCGGTTTCTTTTCTATACCACTTTATAGTTGTTTTTTTCTTTTTTTCTTTCTCTTTTTCTTGTCTTTTTTTTTGTTTTCTTTTTCTTTTTCTTGTTTCTTTTTTTTTCTCTTTATTCTTCTCTTTTATTTTTTTTTTTTTCTTGGTTTTCTTGTATTCTTTTTTCTTTTTTTTTTTTCTTTTTTTTTTTGGCTTCTGTTTTTTTCTTGTATCTTTTGTTTTAATAGTACATCCCCATTCGGACCTGCATCACCATCAACTCTGACCTGCGCTCCGCCACACGGTGCGCCCCGTACGTGATCCATCCAGAACTCGAGGTAACTCTCGGTTGTGAAGTCCACCAGCTCGCAGGCACGCCGTAGAAGTCGGTCAGCTGCTCTCTGAAGTCCGCGAAGGCGGCACACTCCGTCACACAGTGACGTACAGATGACCAGAAAGCTTCTCCACAGCACGGACAGCACGGATCACAAGTGAAGTCATGATCTCCTCCGCGCGTGTGAGAGCTGGCCGTTCCACACATGTATATCATCACCTTTTGCCGCTCACTCGGGGCGAGGGCGTCACGGAACTTCTTCCAAGCTTTGCCCGAGAGGGCTTCGACATCAACATCCTCCATTCCAGGGTAGTCTCGCCGTGCCGAGGTCGCCTTCGCCAAGGCCTTCAAACGACACACAGCACGTAGGACATGAAAAGCTCGATCACCTTCAGAACTCCAAAACCCACGACGGTTCTGGAAAATACGCTTCACTCTCGGATCATCCTCATCCTCAGCCATCTGGAATCTGATCCCCCTCTCGGCATCGTACTGCACGAAGTCCAGGCCCACAGCCTCAAAGAAATTCTGCAGGTTGTGCTCGACCCAGGGGTTGTAGTCGATCTCCCAATCTGTAAGACGCCGAGCCGCCGTCAAGACATTAGAAAAAACTGGATGATACTGAATATGCAGGGCCCAGAAGCGGCCACGACACCACCAGAGACATCTCGTACGCAATACTGAACTCATAAGCTTCACCGCCACATCCGCAGGCGGTAACGTAAACACAGGACAACACCATAGCCACCTCGGTACAACACACGCACCAGCAGCTCGCAATCGGGTCCTCGAACTTCCAGGCAGCTGTCGCAAGGCGGCGATGGCTGCGTACACCTTCTTCCAACCTCCCGCTGGGGTGACGGGGCCCGTGGGATCATCTGGCACCGCTTCGACTCCGATATGCTCGATACGACGAAACTCTCCACGATGCCATTCTTGACGCTTACCTTTGTTCTCCACGGCCCCCGTCTCGAGGTCGAAACGGTCGGTCGTGTCGATGTCGTTACGCAACTGCTGGTCCGTCTCGCACACAAACGAGCGGTCGTCCATGAACAGGAACTGCTCACCCTCGACCTCCCACGGGGCCAGGACGGAGCAGAGCACCTTGGGCGCGCAGGAGTCTCCCTGCGCCAGTCCTCGGGATGGCCACACCGCCTCCTTGGCAAGAGCACCGGCCACCTGGCATCTTCTTGGTCCCGTCCACGCAGCAAAGGATACCGCCACCAGGTCCGATGGCACATCCGCAGCATGGAGCGACGCAATCCCCACCTCGTGGGGGACCTGGTCGTAGCACTTGCTGAGGTCGCGCTCCATGCCCGCCTGAGCGGTGATACACGCTTTCAGCCAGCTGCACACTGCTTGACATACTGATGACTCCGCTTTGCAAGCATACTGAGCTGCCTGCGGGGAGGGAAAAAGCTTCTTCACACGCTGTCAACCAACTTCTCAGCAATACACTCGCCACCCCAATCGGTCGCGATGCTCCACACTTCTTTGGAATACCCACAACTCTCCAAGAGAAAAGTAACTTCTGCAAGTTCACCACATCATCGGACCTCTCCTCCACAGGCACAGTCTTGAACATGCCATTGGCGCCGAGGAACTTCGTCGTGTCCAGCCAGAGGTCGTACAAATCCTGCACTAGGAACTCGAACGTCACGGCCATCATCTTCAGCTCTCGAGCTGTCCACCCGTCGTAGCCAGCACTTTCCTTCCCGCGAGCGATGGCCCGCAGGAACTGCTCCCAGCTCGGCATCCAGCCCGCCTGGGCCTTGCTCCGAGGGAGGGGGCGACGCATCCGCCGAGCATGCTCCACCCACGATGTCGAGCATGCTTCTCCGTTGAAGCCCTCGGGGCGCCAGATCTTGCGCCACTCCTCGGACATGTCGTCGGCGGTGAAGGCAGGGCACTCCGTCGGGTCATGCATGACCGAACTCGCCGCTCTCCACCACTCAGGATCAATAACTTCTTTGGCAAAGATCTGCTTCCATGATGAACTGTCCTCCGCCCGCAGGCGGCGCTCCATCTTAGCAATAGCATCCGATACTCGATCATGTGCTCGGCCTAAACTCGGCAGGCCCGCACATCCATTGTCAATAACATGCCGTAAACAGAAATCGATGAACACGTCGAGCTGGTGGCCATCCAACTTCACGGTCGGTGGACTCCGTTTCAACTGCTCTGCTATGCTTCGGCCAAACTTCTTCAGCCTGGACAGGATGATGGGCTCGTTTGGCCTGCGCTTCGGAGTCGATGCAACAGGCCTTTCTTCGGGATTCGATCCTTTGGGTCTCTCGGCGCTCCCACTTCGTATGAGTATGCCCGACTCAACCCCCAGCTCCATCACACGGTTGGCCCGTGCATGCCAGCGTGTCCATCTCTGCGTCATCGTGTGGGCCCTCCCCAGCATGGGTAAGGCCTGGTCCACATCCGCCTGCAGTACTTCAACATCCTGTGGTAGCACCATCGTATTCTGATCCAACTCACATACAGATGTCCGCTCCAGCCTCGTCGTAGGGCCCACCATCGCACTCCAGGATGTCGTACACAGCACCAAGCCATGGTATGGGATACCCTGCACAAACGTCGTATCAGTATGCTGAGCAGCGACGCCCGACGCACAAATCCTGGTCGGAGACGTTCCAGCCAGTGTCGTCGGCGCTGTCATTTGGCATACGGTAGCATGAATAGGTACACATTGCTGATATGACTGCCTCCAGTTCAAATCTCCAAGGATAATCCAGGGCTTCCCAGCAGCAATAACTTTGATCCAATCGAAAACTTCATCCATCCATTCCGTGCTCGGGACCGACGCAGGTCCATGTGCAGAGACAATCGTACCAAAAGCTCCACGTACGCCCATGTACCTGTGACTTTCAGATCGAAACACTTTGACTCCACCAACACGGGGTCGCCAAAAAAGAGCTGTCTCCCCTTGTATAGTAACAGACTTCGCATTCTTCCCAGGCGGCACACTGACAGCACACCTCCAGCCCAATCTCTGAGCTGTAGCTGACACCCATCGCGGTCGCTCCGTATGTAGGCGCACCTCCTGCAAGGCCAGGAAGTCCACCTCCTTCAAGTCATCGTGCGTGAGCAGCTCCTCCAGCCTGGCGGCGTTCAGGGCTGTGACGTTGATCGTGGCCATCCGCATCTGGCCGCTCTCCACCGGTGCCTCCCCACCCCCGCGGAGCGGGTCGCGGGGGTCGGGGCACCCTCAGCGTGACGTACCCGACGCAGACGCTGACGCCGAAGCCGACGCCGTCCGCGCAGCAACCTTCTTCTTCCAGGCCTCCTTCCTGCGCTTGCGCTTCTGGATCAGGTAGCGCTCACGCTCGGAGCCACTCCTCAGCCTCCTCTTGTCCAGCTTCTGGTTCTGGATCCGCTTCCTTTCTTTGTGCTCAGGCCGCTTGGAATACTCGGCCCAATACTTCCTCCTCTTCTCACGCTTGTCGGGTCCGAAGTTGACCTTCTTCTTCTGGATACGCTTCTGCTCCACCTCAAAGAAATGCCGCATACGTGATACTCCGACCGTACTTGTCAAGAACTGCTTCCGCGTAACTTTGTTGTGCCTCCCACTGCATATATTCCAAGGCGCCTGTCCAAGCGCCCTCTGGATACCACACCGAGTACATTTGTAAGCTGTGTAGTTCTTCACCGAGTTCGGAATCGTCAACACCGTACGAGGGTCATACTCGCACACTGCCTCTTGAATACTGATAGGTAGCTTCGCCTTCCACAACAAATGCTTGGCAAACCCACGCTGGCGTGCATTCTCGCGAATCCTGGCGGAGTTGGCGAGAAACTGGGAGATGTGAGAGTGCACGATCTTCCCGATCTTCGGCGCGGGCTTGCCCTGGCACTTCCTCCAGTGCCTGTCCGCCTGCACGCTGAGCAACGAGTTGTACTTGCGCTTGCCCATCATCACTCTGCCGGACGTGTCGGGCGTCCAACCACACTTGTCACATTTATAATATTCACCAGTTTGCCAAGACCAAAACTGTTTGAATGCCTCATCTTCGTCTCCTGCAGCTTCCTCCGCTAAAGCCTCAGCTCCACCAGATTCCGAGCCCAGAATACTACGCATCTCGTCCGCGCGCTCGTCCAGTCCCAGGATACTCGCAATGGCACCCGTATGTGCTGTCGGTGTACTGCGCAGACCAAGCAAAGATAACATATCTGCATCGTCGTCATCCTCCTCGCCACTCCCTTGCAAACCATGCTGGGGATACGGGAAGGCCTGATCACGCCACAAACGTAACGTGTTCTGATACTCAGGCAGGTCTTGGATGTCCGCTCGCGGCTCCAGCCACTGGTAGTGCTGGTCCTCCAGGGTCAACCAGATCTCCTTCTTCTTCATCTTGGAGTTCGGCTCCCGTCCGTACAATATCCACTTTCCATTCGCATCTTTTGCCCAAATATAAATGTCCGTCTTCGCCTCGTGCGCTAGCAACCTCACCGCCAGGGCTCCCGCTGGGTTCCCCGTCGTGCCGTGGTGCTCCGCTTGCAGCTTCGTCGTCCCGAACACCTTCTTCAGCCCAGCCCTCTGTACTAGCATACGCAGGTGGCCCTGGATCGGGCCCTTCGGCTCGAAGGCGTTGACGGGCGGTACCCGCCCGCTCGGAGAGACATGATGCAGGCCACGGCCTGCGGCGATATAGAAACAATCTTCATCACCTGCACATTGAACAACTTTGAACCACTTCGCATACGGCGTCACATGTTTGCCCACTGCTTTGCCGTCTTCACCTCGCTGCAGCTTTGACTTGGATTCGACCTTGGCCTCCTCCTTCGTCTCGATCTTGACGTCATCCTTCGTCTTGGCTGCCTCCGCAGCTCCAGTGGTCGGCGTAGCTGTCGATGCTGCCGTCGGCGCGGCTGTCGATGCTGCCTGGTCCACTGTCTCGTCGTCGATGTTCTGGATCCTCGGCTTCGCCGCTCCCCACGCATTCCGCGTCGTAGGCGCTGGACCCTCCTTCGGCTTCTGTCGTACTGGCGCTTGAGGTCTCACAGCCTTGGTCACCAGCACGCCACTCTTGAAAGCAAAACTCGTCGCCACCACACCCTGCGGCGGGTCAGCATAGAATAGCCAGGCCCGCGGCCCAGCTCTGGTCGGCTCCTGCACTCGAAGGAACCCTCTCTCCGAAGCCCAATCCGCCACATGCTGCGGAGTAGTCCAGGTCGGGAGAGCATGCTTGATGTAGTACTTCGTGAGCTCGAGCATACCAGGAGCATTGATCTGCGTAGTCGCGCCGAGCTTAGCCCGACCATATGGACGGTACACCAACAAGTCCCGCTGCTCTTTCAATAACCAACAAACTCTCTTGAGATAATCCTTCGGCGTCTCCTCCCCTTTTTGTGTAAACCACTTTGGGGTCGTCGTCGATGCTTGCTTCATAATAAAACAGCCCAATGGCGGTATGATCTCACTCATCTTCAGCTCGAAACTCTTGGGGACCGTAACCACACAAGTTGTCTCAGCCTCATATGCAATAGCTCCCCGTGTGCGTACAATCTGCGCCGCTGCCACGTCTCCCAGCACCACCGTCGGCAAGGCCTGGGGCTGGTTGTAGATCTGGTGGTAGAGCGTCTCGTCCGTCAGCTCCTGCACAACTGTGATGCGGAAGCTCACGAGAGACAGCTTCTCGTGCTGCACGACCTCGTCGTCTTTGATGGCCGCGTCGAGGCCCGCCCTCCTGGGAGCATGCTCACCGTGGTACACGATGCGGGCCTTCATTTTCTTGGGGCCTTTCGGCCCATGGAGGAGTACGTAATCTTCACCTGATGCATCCAAGACCACATGCGTGATGCGTGATGTCCGTCTGGTCCTCCGCCCTCCTCCCTCCTCCGTCCAGTCGTAGGGGTAGCCTTCGGGAGGGTGCCTGGGGCTCCTGCGTGCCCGCGTGCCTTGGCCATGCCGCGCGAGCAAGACTAGCCAGCAAGGCGAAGCACGCGATGATTTGTGGATCTGATGCTGCCCTGTGCGGACGGCCGCAAGCTTCAGTATGCAGGTGCATCGTGGCCTGTCTGCCAGTCTCTGCATTTCGCAGCCGTGCTGGCTCAAGGCTTGACCTGAGGCGTCGGCGCTCGGATTTCCCCTTGGTGGCCGAATTGACAGCGCTGAGTGATCCTTGCGGTGCAGTTTCGCCATTGAGTCATCTTGGCTTTCATCGACATCGGGCATTGCAGACAGAAGCGCAACTCTTCCTCCCCCCTCCCCCATCTGCTCCTCTTCCTCCTCCATCCCTCTCTCCCCCCCCTTCCCGTTGACACCCCTTTCACCTCCCCCTCGCTACCTCTCTCCCTCCCTCTCCACCCCTTCCCCCATCTGCCCCACCCCCCCTCTCTCCCTGCTTCCTTCCCTTATTCCCTTCCCCCTCCTCCCTCCCATCCCCCCCTCCCTGCTCCTCCTCCTCCTCCTCCTCCTCCTCCTCCTCCTCCTCCCACCTCCCACCTCCCTCAGGGGCGTGCAGCTCCCCCATGCCCGCGCATGCTTTCTGTGCTCTTCGCGAACACGGGGCTCCCATAGATTTAAGTCGGGCATGTCCCTCTACAGGCGGAATATTCAAAAATAGTCGAAAATAGTCTGGAGACGATTTTTTGATGATTATGGCTTATTTTTGAATATTTTCTGGCTGCATTCCATTTTTCTTTCAACATACGCCTGTAGGAGGACATGCCCGACATACCCGCAGACCCTGATCCCCAGTACCTGCGCATGTCTCGGCGATCAGCTGTGGCTGCGGTCGGCGCCCGGGGCCTCCCGGGGGGGGGGGGGGCCGCCACGGGGCCCCCGCCGCCCGGGTCGCGCCTCCCCCCTCAGCGGCGGCGCGGCGAGCGGAGGAGCGCGAGGCGCCCTGCCGTCCAGGGCGCAGGTCGGGCAGGGAGGTCCGGACACAGAGAAGCGACGGCGACGACGGCGACGACGACGACGACGACGAGACGACGGACGGTGAAGCAGGCTGCGGCCCGCCCGCGTTCGCAGCCGTCGGCGCGGCAGCAGCAAGAACGGAACAGGGACTGCTGCGGGGCGCAGGCGCAGCACTCATGGATCCTGCGTCTGCTGGCCCGGGGGATCGGTCGAGGCCCCGCCGCGTCGTCGACTCCCTCCGCTCGGAGAGGACCAGCTGGCGTGACCATAGGCTTTCGACGGTCCGCGCGGACTCCATGGCTCTGCGGGGGGGCGTAAGGCGTAATCATAGGCTCTCGACGGTCCGCGCGGATTTCTCGGCTCTGCGCTGGCGCCCCGTGGCGGCGCCTCCGGCGCCGCCCCTGGCGCGCTCCGCGCGCCAGGGGGGAGGCCCCGGAGCAGATCCAAAAAGTCCGCGCAGGCCATGTCGTTTCTTATTCTTCCTGCTCCTCCTCCTCCATCCTCTCTTCTCTATCTTCGAGACCCCACCTCATGCCCCCAGAATCCCCACAGCCTCATCACTACCTCCTCCTCATCCCCGTCACTCTCCAATCCTCCTCGTCCTCCCCTCCTCCTCTCCTACTCTCCCCCCCTCTCCTCCTCCTCCTCCTCCTCCTCCTCCTCCCACTCGAAGGGTGGTTTTATCGCTATAGGGTTCAGGCCTTGCCGACGTTTCCGCCCTCGTCGCCACGAATTACCCCGCCGGATGCACCCAGCGGCGGGTCTCGCTCCCCTCGGCCTCGCCTGCCCTCTCTGGCTTCTTGGCTTAGGTCGGGCCTGTCCCCCTACAGGGGGTTTTCGACGAAACATTTAAAATACTTCAAAATTACCCCAAGAGGGTAACAACTATTTAACACATAGTCCCCAGACTATTCTTGGACTATTTTTTTTTTGTTTTTTTTTTTTTTGTCGGAAATCCCCCTGTAGGGGGACAGGCCCGACTTAATTCTTGGCTTTGTTTTCGGAGGCGTCTCAGATGTTCCGTCTTGGGCTCGATGCAGAGATGGTGTGGCATTTTTTTTGTTTGAAAGAGTTCTCAGTGTGCATCGCCTACATGACCTTTAGGATGGGCGAGGTGTGGGAGTGGGGGAGTGGGTGGCGGAGAGAGTACACCTGCGGCGTCTACATATCGTAGAGGTCTTGAGGAATAAAGCGCCTAAATCCTCTCCCGAGATTGGGGGAAATGCGCCTCAGTGCGATAACCCCTCACCCTCTCCATGCAAACCACTTCGGACGGATTCGGCTCAGTGTCGAAGCGGGCCCGAGAGGCTCAATAGGACACGGGTCCCGCAGGCTTCCCTCTGCAAAGCCGAATGGCTTAGCTGGCAGCTGTGAGCTCGGAGTTCAGTCGTGCGGAGCCTCGTGTCAGCGTCGAGACAAAGGCCACAGCACTGCCAAGGCTTCCTCCTCCTCCTCCTCCTCCTCCTCCTCCTCCTCCTCCTCCTCGATCAACCTCCTCCTCCTCGATCAACCTCCTCCTCGATCAACCTCCTCCTCGATCCTCGATGCTCGATGCTCCTCGCTCCTCGAGGCCTCCCCGCTGAAAGCCTCTGCCACCGCCGCCCCCCAGGAGGCGGCCGCGCGCGCCCCTGCGCCTGGCGGAGCGGCTCGGCGCGCAGCGCGGCAGGGTGGCGGCCTGCGCCTCGCAAGGCCGCCCTGCAGCCCGGCCACCCTCCTCCTCCTCCTCCTCCTCCTCCTCCTCCTCCTCCTCCTCCTCCTCCCCCTCCTCCTCCCCGCCCCCCTCTTTTCGGGGGCCTCGGGAGCGGCCTTATGGTGCATCGGGGGCCCCCAAACGGTGCGGTGACCACACCGTGTGGTGAGTCGTTGGGGATTTGGGGTCACCGCACGGCTTTGGGACTCGAGTCCCTCTCCGAGGGTGTCTCGGGCGACTGGAGCCTCCAGGGTCCCAAAACCGTGTGGTGACGGACCGTGCGGCGAGGTCTCTTGGGGTGCCGAGGTCACCGCACGGTCTGTCACCGCACGGTTTTGGGATCCCCAGGTGCAGTCGCGGGGGGGGGTCTCGTCTGGGGATTGCTGCTCGTCCTCCTCTCCGCCGTCGCTTGGGGGTCGCGGGGGGGGGTCGTTTGTGGATCGCCCCGCTGCCCCCCGCCGTCCTCCCTCCACCTTCCTCGGCTCCTCCCTGCCTCCTCCTCCCCGCTGCCTCCTCCCTACTACCTCCTCCCCCTCCTCCCTCGAGCTTCGAGCTGCGGGCCTGAAGGTCTCCGAATAAGCTGTGGCCCTCGCCTTCTCTTTTCCTCCTCTTCCACCTCCTCCGCCTCTGCCTCCTTCTCCCGCCGCCCCCCTTCTCCTCCGTCCTCCTCCTCGTCCTCCTCCTCCTCCTCCTCCTCCTCGTCGTCGTCCTCCTCCTCCTCCTCCTTCTTCCCCCCCTCCTCCTGCAGTGGCGCCGCGGGTCTGTTTGCCGCGGGCGCTGAGTGACCGAGAGCCGGCAGACACCCCCGCCGCCCCCGAAACGGGGCGGCTCCCTCCCTGGGGGTCTGCCGGCCCGGGCCTCGTAGACTCTGGCGGCAGACCCTGGGCCAACAGATCGCCCCCGCCCTCTTCTTCTTCTTCCAGGAGAGGAAAAACACACACAGACACAATGAATCGTCGATTCCCAGGAAAATATAGGAAAATATGGAAGTGTGGGGGGAAGACACAAACCCGACACATATAGGAAACTATTGGGAATCTGTTTATTTGTGTGTATTTTTTTGTGTGTCCTGGAGCCCCTTCATTCTTCTTCTTCTTCTTCTTCTTCTTCTTCTTCTTCCCTCCACAATTGCACAATGTGAGTGCTCTTCTCCTCGCTCCCCCAAAAAGCTGGTGAGGTGTCCTGGCCTCCGCCGCGTGATCTTTTAACACAGGGTGCCGCCGAATTGATAGTCCACATCTGTTTTTCCAATCTGGACGTTTTCAGTCCTTTCAGAGTGGCGCTCTGGCTAAAGCGTTGGCTCCATTCCCCGCTCTCAGTTTTTCCCAATCATTGTAGCGCTGACTTCATTTCATATCTTCGGTTCTTTCGAATCGTGCTCCTGCTGAAGTGTTGGCTTTGTTTCCGCGCTTCCAGTCCTTCTAAATCGGGTCCCCACTGCGGCGCTGGTGTCATTTCCGCTGTTTCGGTCTTGCGAAATCGTGCTCCCGCTGCAGGGTTGATCTCATTCTGCGCCTCTCGATTTCCAAACCGTCCATTTGCATTTCCTGTCCTGTGTCATTTCTGGTTTCCCTCTGACCTCGCTGTCGAATCGAGTCGCGTTCTTGACGCGATGCCATGCTGTGCCGTGCTACTCCATGCATCGCGCACTCTCTCTCTCGGGATCATTGCCCTGTGAAGCCTCCGATTGTGCGAATCGAGAAGAGATCTACGCAATGGTAATGGATGAAAGGAGGGGGTAGGACGCCAGATATGACGCTTGCGCACCTAGCTTGTCCTTCCCCCTGCCCCTCCTCCTCCTCCTCCTCCTCCTCCTCCTCCTCCTCCTCCTCCTCCTCCTCCTCTTCCTCCTTCTCCCTCCTCATTCTCTTCCTCCTCCTCTTCCACCGCGGGGGGACCTTCGCTAGGCATGACTCTTTTCGCGCCTCTTCACCGTCGCGCCCCCCTCCCCGCCGCCCCGCCCCCCTCCTCGCTTTCTCCCGCCCCTTCGCGCTCCTCCCCGCGATCCTTCTTCTCCTCCTCCCCCCCCCCTCCTCCTCCTCCTCCTCCTCCTCCTCCTCCTCCTCCTCCTCCTCCTCCTCCTCCTCCTCCTCCTCCTCCTCCTCCTCCTCCTCCTCCTCCTCCCCCTCCTCCTCTCCAGGTGGTGCAACAGGTTGGAGTTCGAGTCCTTGCTGGTGGCCACCTGTCCCTAGTCAAAAGGCCACCACCACTCAAGCCGCACATCCAGAAGGACGAGTTGGCACGGCAACCGATCCTATCCCCGAGCCGTGGAGCGAATCCAGGGTGACCAGGCCCAGCGGCAGCCTGGAGGCGACCCCGGACGGGCCAATCCGGGTACGCTAGATTCGCGCCGTGCCGACCGGCGGCGACCCCTGCGCGGGCGTTCAAGGCTGAACGCCGCCCGGTGGCCCAGAATCGGGCGATGTTTCAACGATCTGACGCTTCGCCAACGGCCGATCGTTCCGAGGCTGAACGATCCCCGCGGTGTTGGGAAGCGACGCCGGGGCCGACGCCGCACGAGCCCGCAGCAGAGGCTGCCGACCGGACTCGGCCGTCGCCCGCGGCTGCGGCAGCCACCGTGCGTACAGCTCGGGGCGGGCCAGCAGCAGCGCGGGCCCTCCGAGCCTGGCCCCCGCGCCGACGCTCGAGGCGTGGGGCACTCCGCCCACTGCCGGCGGCGGGCAGAAGCGCGAGGAGGAGGAGGAGGAGGAGGAGGAGGAGGAGGAGGAGGAGGCGAGGAGGAGGAGAGGAGGAGGAGGAGGAGGAGGAGGAGGGGGAGGGGGAAGAGGAGGAGGATGAGGAGGAGGAGGAGGGAGGAGGAGGACGAGGAGGAGGAGGAGGAGGAGGAGGAGGAGGAGGAGGAGGAGGAGGCACCAGCCGCAGCGCGTGAAGTCGGGGCCGGCGTCTGGGCGCCGACGCCCCTCGGCGATGGGGGCGTTCGCGCAGCACTGCTCCGCCGCGCTCCCAGGGGGAGCCGAGCACTCTGAGATCGACTACACGTGAGAGTGACCCTTCGCCGGAGTGACCTTCGGCGCGGGCCCATGGGGGTCCCCCGATCGCCGACCGCGATGCGGTAGTAGCGTCTTGCGCGCTTGTGTTTGGTCCCCCCGCGGCCCCGAAGAAGCCGCGCACTAAAGGTCACTCTTACCCAGGGTCACTCTTGCGTGTAGCCGATTAGAGAACGCCACCGTTCCAAGTTTCCCAGGCGGGGTGACTGGAAGCTTCGGTGCCCCCTCCTGCGTTCCCTCCCTCGTCCTGCCGGAGGACGAGGAGCGAGGCGCAGGAGGAGGGGAAGGGCGGGTGGCTGGGAGGCGGCGGGGAGGGGGCAGGGGGCAGGGAGAGAACAGGGGTGAGAAGGGCGAAGGAGGTGGGAGGGATGAGCGTGGGACACATCAGGAGGGGGAACACAAGCACGGACACACACATAATCGTGGATCCCCCTTCCAGCGTGGGAACTATGGGAAGCGATGGGGAAGGCGAACCTCTTGAACATATGGAAACATAAGAGGTATCCTGGACTTGTGTCTTTTTTGTCTGTGTGTGTGTGTGTGTGTCCCTGGGCCCCTTTAACAGAGGATGGGGCCGCAGGTTCCGACTTTGGCAACGACATCAAGGTGGGGCTGAGCGGCTTTCTCGACGACGCCACGAAGCCCTTCAGGGACGTGCAGGAGGCTGCGCGGCAGGCTCGTGCGGGAGGAAAAGCACAGGGATCATGGCCACGATGTCGCGGGATCTTGTCGATGCCGATCTTGGTCATGGTCCATGCTGGTCATCGCCGATCCGCGATGATGATCTGCGCATTGATGGTTGCCAAGATAGACGGTGACCAAGATCGAGGCCGACGTTCCGCGTTCAGTCTTGGTCATGATGCTTGTTTATTCTCTCTAGATCGAGGTTCGAGTGTTGAGATGTTGGTTGCTTTATGCAAGTGTATGGGTTTTTGGAGACTTCCTATGCAATTGTCACGGCGGAATCACCTTTGATGTTCTGGTCTCACGACGCCTTTGGAAAGGTCTGTGGGCCGACGATGAGAGGGACGGGGCATGGGGGAGGGGAGGAAGAGGGGAGCAGGATGAGGGAGGGGGGGGGAATTTGGGAGCTAGGAGTAGCGATGAGGAGAGGGAGCGGGGCTAAGGAGGATGAGGAGGAGGAAGAGGAGGAGGAGGAAGAGGAGGAGGAGGCATACGAAGAAACATGAAACTACCTTTCACACTATGAACAATACTAATAAGACACGTTATCACAGATAGTAAACATAATAAGACAACGAAGCATGCTCATATCCATAACTACTAAGACTAAGCATCATACGAGTCATACACATACTACTATAACTAATAGTAATAATAATCAACATATGATGCATACATTAACACTAACACTGCATAATCCGAATATCGATAGTACTCATCATAAGACGAATATGATCTGTGACATTCTCGGCGGCATTCGCAGGCTTTCGGGGGTTTCGATCGTTTTCAGAAGTATCTGGGGGTTGCAGGGACAATTGTTCGGTGGTGCCTATACATTTCCAATGCTGTTGGAAGTGTCTGATGTTTTTTGTGGTGAAGGAGAAGAAGGAACAGGGGGGCTGGGACGAAGAGGAGGAGGAGGAGGAGGAGGAGGAGGAGGAGGAGGAGGAGGAGAAGGAGGAGGAGGAGATGGCATGGGGGCGGGTACCCGTAAAGGGACCCCTGTCCTGTGGGACCTTGGAAAAACATTGTACGAATCCAACGGGACCCGTATAGGAGCCTTCTGGGAGCCAAGAATACCCCTACGGGATCCCTGCGGGGCTCCTGTGGGACCTCATGGGGCCCCTACAGGAGCCTTGTGAGAACCCTATGGGGCCCCCAGTGGCCTCTGGGGGGGCACCTTCGCTTACGCAGCGCATCTCGCTTCCGCAGCGGAGACCGCCGCGCTCGACAACATCGCGTCGGTGCGCCCTGTCGTTTTCGCTCCGCGGGCGCCCGTAGACGGGCCCCGGGGGGAGGGAGAAGACGGCAGGTTGGGAGGAGGGGGAAGGAGAGGGTGGAGGCGAAGCAGGAGGAGGAGGGGAAGGAGGAGGAGTAGGAGGAGGAGAAGCGAGATGCCCCCCCCCCTCTCTCCCTCTCTTCCCCCCTCACCCCCTCCTCCTGCTATGGGCAGGCGTCCACTAAGCGACCCCCTTGTTTAGGACGCGTCTGGGGCAGGTATTGGCCCCCTGAAGGCCAGCGCCAGCATTCCCGGCGGCAACGCCCCAAGCACGGCATTCACATGTGTGATGGTTGTGGGAAGTCGTGCTATCATTTTTGGTGAGTTTTGCCATTTCACGTGAGTTGCACTTTGGGTGTTTTTTTGGCCCGTTGAGAGTAGCAGCCGAGCGCCCATGCCAAAGGATGGAGTGTAGAGTGAGGGCTGGTCCCTAAAGCCGTAAGGGCTTGACAGCTTCTCTCCAATCGAACTGTGAGGATCAGGCCAGATAGATCGAGGCAGATCCAGATAATTCGAGGCTCGTCCGGGTAAGTCTAGGTAAATCCAGAGACTCTGGGGAAATCTGGAGCTAATCGTAGACGTTCCAGCGCGAATCGAGGGACAGCAGAAGTCGTTAAGCCCATAACCATACGGGCTGGAGCGGGTGGGAGGGTCGCGGGTGTCCGCCGTGGTCGCCGGCAAGAACTGCGCGCGCGGCAACATGGGGAGACTGCGACCAAGACGAGGTCGACGTCGACGTGGGATGTGGGCCCGGGGCCGCGGCGTTGTGGGCGTCGGGGCGTCCTTTTCCAGGACCTTGGAGCACAAGCAACAACTAGCACAGTTGCCGCTCGACGCGGCCACTCGTCGTCAAGAGGACAATGCCGGAGGTCTTGGGACCGGTGTGCGGGGGATGACGGGAGGAGAGCGAGGAGGAGGAGGAGGAGGAGGAGGAGGAGGAGGAGGAGGAGGGGGAGGAGGGGAGGAGGAGGAAAGGGGGGAGGAGGAGGAGGAGGAGGAGGAGGAGGAGGAGGAGGAGGAGGAGGAGGAGAGGAGGAGGAGGAGGAGGAGGAGGAGAAGAAGGAAGGAGGAGGAGGAGGAGGAGGAGGGCGAGTGAGGTCCCTCTTCCCTTCCCTCGATGGTGCTCAGGACCTCCCTTCGCCCAGCGTGTGTGTCTGCCCCGCTCAGCTCCACCGGCAGCACGCCGCCCGATGCCTCGTCCCTCGCCGCGCCGCCTGCGCCGCGGTGGATGGCCTCGGTGGACAAGGAGACGGCGCTAACACGTTCCGAGGATCATGTACCCTTCCACGTCTCTCCGATCGGGGAAACGTAAGACTCGAGTAAGCCGGGACTCGGGTTAGCCGAAGTTTTTTTGACGAGCGCGTCCTGGATTTTGACGGTCCACTTTACGTGGGATGTCTGCAGCGGGAGCCCGCGTCAAATTTCAGATCGGGTCTCGTCATTTTTATGACGGGCCCCGTCAGGCCCACCCGAGTCCCCCGTACCCGAGTCTTACGTCTCCCCGATCCGAGGCCCCCAGATGCCCGAGAAGGGCCCAGACTTCCGAGGGCCTGTCAGCGTGGGGGGGGGGCCAAGCCCACACGCCCCGCCGAGGGGGCAGCCGCACCCGTCCACGGGGCGCGGCGGCGCGCCTCGAGGCAGCCCATGGGTACAGGAGGGCCTTCTCGTTATGGCTGCTCTGGGCTTCCCAGATGGGGTCGGAGCAGATGGGGTCGGAGGATCGCTCCGCATCGCCGACGCACCGGCGATGCGCCTCGATGTGGTGGAGCTCGATTTTCTGCGCGTCGACGTCGCCGATGCATCAGCGATGCGGCGCGACCCAGGGCTCTGCTGGTCAGGCGTTCTCAGGCTTCTGACCTCCAACGTCCCAATCCTGATCCTGCACCTCGCGAGTCGCTCCTCCTCTCCCCCTCTCTTTCTACTCGCCCTTGCTGGTCCTTCACTGCTTCTGCGCCCACTCATTCAGCCTCTTCTGCCCCTTGACCTCCTCTCCCAACGGATCCCGACATCTCGCGAATCTCTGCTTTCGACCTCGAAAGCATCCGCAGACTTCAACGTCTCGAACAGTCGATGTTGCACGTTTTTCATGCGTTGGACTCTGGAATGTCCATTATCAGCGCCGGGGCTGCCAACACACGAATCAGGGTTACCAGCGCACTTTGGGGAAACGGGTGGGGTTCTAGGCGCCAAAAGGACAGGACGGCGCCTGATGTCTGTGTCCCAGGTTGCGAGGTCAGCTGCAGATGGCCCGCATTTCACAGTTCTCTTCCCTTGCCTCCTCATCTCCTCGCACTCCGTTCTCCTCGGTCGCCTGCAGATGTTGGTGTTCGATCTCGTGCGGATCTGCGGCGGTCGGAGCAGCCGCAGAACGTTGCCTTGAGGATATGTTGAAATTTTACCGCACGGGGTGCCCGCCGCAGATTGGTTCGAGTTCGTGCCGTCCTCACCTGCCTCTCTCCTCACCGTCCACCCTTCTGTTTCTTCCTCTCACTCTCTTCATCCTTCCCTTTCTGGCCCCGCTGGGTAGGCGTCCAGCAACATCCAGAAAGCGGCCAAGGACCAGGGCCCGCGGGGCGCGGGGGCTCGAGGATAAACATGCTGCATAAACTTTCATTTGCATGGCTCGGCGAGGATTTCTTGGATCTGCGCTGAACCGCCTGGCGGCGCCTCTGGCGTCGCCCCTGGCGCGCTCCGCGTGCCAGGGAGGGGGGTTTCAGCGCCGATCCAAGAAATCCTCGTGGAATTCCGATAGTTTATGGTTGTGCCTTTTTATCTGTCCTGGTGTGTTGTTGCACCTCCTCCCGTCCTCTCCGACGTTGTGTTTGTGCTCGTCGTCCTCGTCCGCCCAGTGCCCTGCTCGCTCGGCCGACCTAGAGTGCGGGGTGTGGGGGGTTAAGACGAGGGGGAAGAGGAGGGGACAGCAGGAGGGAGGGGAGGGGGGCGACGGATTGGGAGGGAGGGAGGGGGGGGATGATGATGATGATGATGATGATGATGATGATGATGATGATGATGATGATGATGATGATGATGAGGAGGAGAGGAGGAGGAGGAGGGGAGAGGAGGAGGGAGGAGGAGGAGGAGGAGGAGTAGGATGAGGAGGAGAAGGAAGAGGAGAAAAACGAGCGTGGGGAGGATGAACGGAGAGGGGGGGGTGAGAACGAGGAGGAGGAGGACGAGGGGGGGGGAGGAGGGCGAGGAAGATGAGGAGGAGGCGAGGCGAGGCATGACCAGGTGGAGGGGGAACAGTATGATCAGGAAGGCGGGGGAGGACAGAGGAGGAGTGATGGTGAGCAGGATGAGGAGGAGAAAGAGGAGGAGGAGGAGTAGGAGAAGGAGAATGACAAGGAGTGTGATGAGGAGGAAGATGACAAGCATGGGGGCGATACCGGGCAACAGCAGCAGCAGCAGCAGCCGAAGGGATGCTGATGCGAGAGCTGCTGATGATGCTGGACATTATCATGAGCAGGCCGCCGATGGAAATGCCAATGACGATGCTAATGATGACGATGACGCTGCTGATGATCTCGATGATGACGACGATGATGCCGGTGACAATGATGATGATTATACTGATGCTGATGCTGCTGATGAGGATTATGACGATGACGACGATGCTGTTGACTCTGATGTGGATGCTGACGATGATGATGCTGATGAGGATGCTAATGCTGATTATGTTGATGCTACTGATGCTGCTGATGATGCTGCTGATGATGATGATGGCGATGACGACGCCGATGGTGATGATCATGGTGATGATTCTGATGATTGTGGTGATGATGATAGTGACGATGGTGCTTTTGCTGATGCTGGTAAGACTGATGCTCCCGACTGTGGGAGTGATTCTGATGCTGATGATGACGCAGACGATTCCAATTCTGATTACGGTTGCGATTGCGATTATGCTGTTGATGACGATGGTGGAGAGTTAATTGCGCTGGTGTTTATGGTGCCGAACATGACTGTGACGATGAGAGTTGTGGACATATGGGGGACATACTAGGGGCACGACGAGGACGATGACGAACATGTGAGTAAGACTGGTATTAGGTTGGTTCTGGTTGTGCTGATGGTGTTGCTGCTTCTGATGTTGACGACGACGAGCATGATGATGCTGACGTTGACGTCGACGGCGTTGTCGACGAAGTTGCTGATGCCGATGCCGTGATCATGACGACGATGGTGACGATGCTGCTGCTGCTGATGATGACACTAATGATGATGTAGGTTCATGTTTGAATCATGATGGTGATGCTGATGATGACGATTATGCTGATGATGCTGCTCATGATGCTGACGACGACGATGTTGAGGATGCGGATGATGATGCTGATGATTCTGCTGACGATGATGGCGGTGGTGATGAAGATGCGGATTACGATGTTGCTGATGTTGGTGCTGGCCGATGACGATGGTGGAGAGTTACTGGCGCTGGTGATGATGTTGACGAAGCTGATGGCTTGGATGATTGCGAAGGCCTTACGGCCGGTGCCGCCGACCCTGAATGGCGACGACGACGACGACGACGACGACGACGAGCGCTCTTGGGGGCCTCTTGGGGGTAGTTTGTGGGCCTCTTGGGAAGCTCATAGGGGCCGCTTGGAAGCCTCGTTGGGGGCCTCTTGGGGCTTCCTGGGGGTCTCTTGGAGGGGGCCTGGGACGTCTTGGAGGCTTCTTGGACAGTCTTGGGGCTATGTTGGGCGTTTTCGGCCGATCTTTGGGCGACTCGGGGCCCTCTTGGGCCGTCTCGGGGGCCATCTTGGGCATTCGGACCTCATTTGGAGTGTTTTCGAGGTTTCTAGGCCGCCCGAGGAAAAACGAATCTGCCCCCCCACCCCCCCCGGGACCCCCCCGGGACCACCCCTGGGACCCCCCCCCGGGACCCCCCCCGGGACCCCCCCCCCCTCTGGGGAAGGGATCAAAGGGAAGGGGCTTCCCTTCGACTCGATTACGACACTGCTCGATTTTTCTCTCGCTCACGAGCTTGAGAAGGAAGCTGCAGGGAAAGGGGACGACGGAGGCGACGACCGACGGAGACGACGACTCGAACAGCCAAGCCCCTCGCACACGCCGACAGGGTCGGCGGATTTTTCTGGACATGTGGAGGATCTATGGAGGGCACGGCGAGGACGATGATGACAATGGGAGGATATTGGTGTGAGGTTGATTGCGGCTGTGATGAGGCTTAGGTTGTTGCTGATGCTGACGACGATGTTTATGATGGTGCGGGTGTCGACGTTGACGGCGATACCGACGACGATGGCGATGTCGATATTGTTGCCGACGATGGTGGTGATTATGCTGATGAGGAGGTGGGTGATGATGATGCTTCTGGTGATCATGATACTGCGGATGATGAGGATGATGCTGATGATGATGACGACGATGCTGATTTCAATAATGATGCTGCTGCTTACGATGATGATGCTGCTGACGGTGATGATAACGATGATGCTGATAATGCTGATGCTGCTGTTGCTGCTGACGATGATGATGATGATGATGCTGCTGATGATGATGATGATGATGATGCAGCTGCTGCTGCTGCTTAAGCTGCTGCTGCTGTTGCTGATGCCGTTGTTGTTGGTGATGATGATGGTGCTGCTGCTGCTGATGATGATGATGAGGACGATGATGATGCTGTTGCTGCTGATACTGATGATGCTGATGCTGCTGCTGATTAGGGTTATGCTGTTTATGATGTTGATGCTGATAATGCTGACGATGATGATGATGCTGATGATGATGATGATGATGATGCTGATTATGATGGTGATGGTGATGGTGATGATGATGCTGATGAAGTTATCACCCATGCTTGTGATACTGATGCGGATGATTCTTGGGATTTGGATGCGGGGGGCGAGGATGACGCAGAGGAGGCGGAGGAGGAGGAGGAGGAGGAGGAGGAGGAGGAGGAGGAGGAGGAAGAGGACGTATTCTGATTTCACGTACACCGCACCGTATTATTAAGAAAGCGAACAAAAAGGGGAATGGCACGGGTCCTACAAGCTTGCGCCACATCCGCCGACTCCTTTGGCTTGGTCGGGGAATTGCTATCGCAGGACCCTCGGCCCGTCCCGCCACCGTGCGCGGGTTTTGGGTCGGAGTCCTCACGGGGTGCTTCTCGGGGATCCTTTTGGGGGCCTCCCGGGGGGCCTCTCGGGGGCCTCTCGGGTGCCTCGGATGCGCCTCTCGGGGGCCCTCGGCGCCTCCCTGGGGGCCTCTCGAAGCCGAGGGCTCGAAATGTTCATTCGGATCCCCCCTTTGGGCACCCTCTTGAAGCCGTCTTTGGGGCGTCTCATGCCGTCTTGGCAGCCTATTCGGCCGTCTTGGGGCCCTCTTGGGCCGTTTTGGGGCCCTCTTGGAGGCCTCTTGGGCCGTCCTGGAACCATCTTTGGGGCCTTTTGGGCCGCCTTCGAGCGTCGGGAAACGGAAAAGGCGAGAACGCCAACAACTCCCAAACACTCAACGGACATCAGTGTGTTTTTTTCTCCTTCGGGCCCTCCTTTGAGGCTTCTTGGAGGCGTCTTGGGGCGTCTTGGGGGCATCTTGGGCCGTCTGGAGGCCATCCTGGGCATCTTGGAACAATCTTTCGGCGACTCGTGGCCCTCTTGGACAGTCTTGGGGGCCTCTTAGGGCCCTCTTGGCCCATTTTGCGGCCCTCCGTTCCCCCCCGGGTGCGTCCGTCCCGGGCCATGGTGGGGGAGGGGGTCAAATTGCTGGTTTGGGGTCCCTGAGAGGGGATTCTGGGGAGGAATTATCTCACACGCTTTGAGATCCACTGTAGTCATTCTGTGTCATCGTCCGCTGTAATCATCGCGACCCAGCGGGTATCGACCTCCTCTTTTGCCGAGGAATTCCATGCACGCACACGTCTATCTCAAAAGATGCGTACACCACTGGCGACAACCAGTAACACAGAGTCCACCTGCGCGCGCACATGTCGACGTGGCATCAAACGCATTGTGCTGCAAGCGTGTGAACACACACACAAACACACCTCAATCACCCATTTGTTTTCAGTAAACCTTGCAACCTCACGAACCTGCACCCTGGCGCGCCAGTGCTGCGCCCGCCTCTGCCAGTGCCACCTCGTTTCTGCGCGTCCGCGAGTGAAGCGGCGCCTGGGTCGCGGCGCACCTCGTCGCCGCTCATTGGGCTCAGCATCGCCTAACCAATCCCCATCCCTACTGGGCCTTGGTAGCTCTGTCCCAGCACCCCACCCTGCTAGGTGGGGAAGGCCCCGCGAATCCCGAAGGAACATGCACATACCCCCACCTAGATGGGTAATTTGGCCAGGATGATGATGATGAGGAGGAGGAGGAGGAGGAGGAGGAGGACCAAAGGGATCGGTTCAGTGATGCTCATGGACTCCCCGTCCCCCCAGCTTGCGCGGCGGGCTCAGCAGCTCACCGGCCTCCAGACCCAGCGGGCGGCCCAAGACCTCCTTCCAAGCAGGCCCTCGGCTCCGCGTCGTGTGCCTTGGCATCGCTCGGACGTGTGCATTTTTCCTTCGGCGAGGACCCTCGAGGAGCATCCTTGATCATGTGG